AGATCTGAATGATAACAATGACATGGGGAGTGCTTCAAGACTTGAGCACCGTGAAGTCTACTCACCGAAATTTACTGACGAATTTGCTGCACAGTGTGATTCAACCACTGATCATAGATTCATTGAGAAAAGCTATCGACATTTGATGATGGCTGGCTTGGTCACAGCGTCCGACTACTATAGATGAAGCTCCAAATACCTCTTGACGGGCATGGTGGCGGAGACGAAGGGGAGACTGAGGTTGACTTTGTCGTCAAAGAGCTGAACGAAGTAATAACTCATTGTCTGAGTCCGATGCGGAATTTCTGCGGGTAATAGCGTAGAGTTCGGACTGTACTCAGATCTGCCACCACCTCGGACACAAGGGAGAGCGTCATTATTACTATATAAGAGAATCAGAAATTGAAGAATAGAGGTAGAACCCCAAGAAGTGGACCTCAGTGTTGCTCAGGGACAGCAGTTTTTTTGGCCGGATCTGAAGGGTAAAAAGAGTCAGCTGTAAGGATTCCTAAGAAGACAAAAAGTGGGTACCATTCCGCGGCGTGGGTTTAAATCATAAAGGATGAAAAGGATGATAACTGTGAGAAGAACTTGACGCTGGGACCGTAATCGAGTGAAATCGGCGAAGCTTTTGAGAGGTTTGACACGGCCAGACCCACAATCAAGCTTTCTACGACGTCTGCGGTCAAAATGATCAGCAGGTTCCCATAGTACCTCAAGGATGAAATAAGGGTATCAGGTCCTACGCACGTTATTTCATACGTTTACACGAAATACCCGACACAAATCTGGTGGAGAAGCTCCAGAATCCTGAGTAGAACTGGATGTATCATCACTGAGACAGTGAGACTTGTGGCAGTCTCGTTATATCTTGCCAATTGCGTACCAAAGTGACTTTCACGCTCGATACCTGACAAAATCAAAAGGTCAAGCACACATTAGACTGCTATCACGATCTTTGAACACACCAAAGTCTTGCATTCCCAAATATCACGGTATAGCCACTTGAAGTAAGTCAACGTCGAGAAGCCAAAGACTCGTCACCCTGAACACAAAGGCTGGAACCACAAATCCAATCAACGCCGCTCCCAAGGTGTCGTGCATTTTCAGTCCACAAGCCATTTCGACCAAAATCTTTGCTCATACAACGAGACCCAATCCGCCTTTTTTTCGAAGCTACAGACGTGTTTCTTCTGTTATTTTCAAACCTAAAGATAGAGTCTGTCGTACGCTTTTTCCCCACTCTTGCACGGGGTTTACCCTCTAGACATGACGTACGAGTCGATCCAGCTTGCCCAAGCAAAAAGTTAATAAAATAACTCGCCGGCGGGGGAGCAGACTCGCACCCAGCTCAAGATCAAAAGGAAGGCGGTACGGATGTGATAAGATTCGGCATGAAAGAGGCGAACTTTCAATATTCGCACTTGAAAGGCAAGACGCAGGAGGTTGATCGAGGAGAAGAGGGACACAAGCCGACGGGCCAGACTGAGCACGGTAAATAAAAACAACTTTTTATGGGTGACATTATAGATTGATGGGGGTATTGAAAAGATGAGTAGGGAACTACATAGCACTTGAAGAGCAGGCAATCGAAAACAGCAAGCGGTAAGCAAGAAAGCGAGAGAAAGAGAGCAGTAAAGGAGAAGTGATGTGAGTACGTGATCATGGAAGCCGGAATCACATTGACTGCGCACAGTGCACTCGTAAGTATTCCATACAAGTCCTGTGTTCACGTCAGTCAGACGTGATACATGAACAGCTTTCAAGTTACACACCGTCTGATAAGAGAGATCGATTCAATAGCTTGGTAGGTAGCATTAGTCGACCCCGCCGTGCTGTTTACATCCGCGTAGAACGGGCATTAGAGACGACGGTCCTCTGGAGGGGTTCTCTAGTTAAAATTCCAGTCAATTGATCGAGCGTCGTGATCTCAGATGTCCAATTGAAGGGAAGGACATACCTTCAGTGTTAGCCGCGAAGGTATGAGCACGACTGTCAACAGCAGAACAAAATGGGCTTTCATAGGCCGAAGTGCAACTGTGTGGGACAACCTGAGACGGTTGTCTGATAGCCTGTCTCCGGTACCGTTCAGCCTCAAAACGACTTTGTTGGTCCTGCTCGTAAGCTTGCTTCAGACGAGAGTAAAAGGAAGCATTAGCTCAAGCAAAGGCACCGTGAGTAGTAAGGACGCACAAGAATTCCCCGTTTCACATCTTCAGATCGCTCATACCAGCTTATAATCTCTGGCATCAGTCCAGGATGGAACCCAACATATGTCCATAAAGCAGGTCCTAGGAGGTGCTTCTCAACTATCTTAGACGCCGCGATCTTCAATCTAGGTCATCGAGCTCAATGTGCCGTGTAAGGTTTTTGAGATCTGACACTCACTTGTAGTATTCATCGTCGAGTAGCGCTGATACGAGGTCGGCGTGTTTCGTATACACAATTTCGAGATGTTTCAAGGCGTCTTTCAGCTCCGAAAGCGTCACGCAGGGGTAAAAAAGCTTGCGAAGGTATTTGAAAGCAATAAGGAGCAGGCCTAGAGAAAGAGCAAGATGAGCAAAGAAAAAAACGTGTTGGAGAAGAGCAGTGCTGCATTAGGTCATCACGTCATCACTGATGAATGACTAAGTGACTCACCAGCGACGACCCCCAACCACGTCCAATAATTCGCAATTAGTTCCATGCAGGATGCGTTCTCGAGTCTTCAAGGATGTGTTTCGCGCTTCCGAGGTGGAGGGAGGGAGGGAGGGAAGGAAGGAAGGGCTTTGGTTGACAATTCTAGAGGACATTTGGTTTTGAGGATTCGACCGGCCCAATCAACGATATTTTCGTATACTTCTCTGCGAAGAAAAATTGACGCCCAACGTTTCAGTGCACATTGTAGCTTGATATAGTCGAGCCCTGATTAATTTCCGCAGACACTGATGTGCGTTTCATCAATCCGACAGTACTTGATTTGGACGAATCTTCTCCCGTCAAGGCGTTTCCACGCAGAGACGAGGGGGTTGAGATGAATGGCGAAGCACAAGGGGTGGGCGGGCCTTCATCCCAGCATACCAAAACTCAGAATGAGTGTCTTGTTTGATGCACAACCTTCTATTTTGTACAAGCCGAGATTGGGTGTGCAGTGACCAGAAAATGTAAGAGGAGGTGTAGCATATGAGTCCAGTGTTGGACGGGCGGCGCCCCTCGGTGTCCTGCCCTTGTGCAAGGGCGGTGGCAGGGCACTGACTTTTCAGCTGAGTCGCTGCCTGGGTGCCCTTCGCCAGCCCGGCTATCTGTTAGCGTCAATGACGTCGCATGAGCGCTCAACTAGGCCACTTACGGCTTCTCGTTCAAAACCCTGAAGTTTTGCATACCTACTATCTTTATGAAGTCGCTATTGTCCAGTCAGTGTCAAGGGGGGGGAAAATAAAATTTATGCCCCACACTCGAATTTTTTTTTAAGGCAGGTTGAGGGGGGACTAACTAGCTACGTAATTTCCATATATGGTAAGACTTACCTTTTTTGGCTGCCCTTCCGGCAATCTCCGAGGTTTTTCACTGACCAGCCTACGCTGGCATCTCTGGAAGTGGCGGCCATGAGTTTGGAGGGTGCTTATCATCCTGTGAAGCTCCACCTGAGCCTGACCTAAACTGAAGTCGCGCCTGGGGTGGGGTATGCCCCATACCCACTTAAGCACCACTACAAGGGCTGCAGGTGGTGAAGATGGTGCTAAAAGGTAAGATTTAGGTTGATTTTCAGCGAGAACAAGCAATTTTCAAGGACACAGTCTGTTCTAGCTCCTTCCAATGCCTTCAAACGGCCTCATACATCAAAAAAAAATTGGCCTAAAAAATTTTTTAAGGACCCCCGAGGGGGGACTAACTACCCACCCGGGTGTCCGGGATCCACGGCCCGCCCCCCCCTTGGTCAGTGTGATGTCTTAATTATTGTGATATATCATAAAGAATGCCAATTAAATGTGAGAATGAATGACATATCCCTACTTTCAAGAGGAAGCAGCTAAAAACCTAAAAGCAAGATTTGAACCTTGAAAAGTTGACAGCAATTATAGCTATTGCTACTTCCATAATGAAACCAGAGGTTACTCTAGCAACTACAGTATCATACAGATTGAAGGTTGGACCTGGAAGTCAGCGCACCAGTCCATGATATATTACCAGAAGATCACGTGCGGGCACCAAACTGGGCAGCGACCCGCCGGCGCCAGTGCCCTTTACGTCGGGCACCGCCCTACTGCCTTTTGACAGGGGCAGTGGAATTCCACTGCCCTCGACAATACTGTATGAGTCGGCTTGCCCATCTGATTTATATATATCTTTGTCAACGCCGACTCAAGCTTACAGGTTACGGGGAGATGTGGCGAGAAAAATCGATAACCGGCGGGGGATTTGGTCGAGCCCATTTGCAAGTAGCAGGGTTATTCTCCCATTCGTGTCTACAGCTATCATATAATAGATGTAGGAGGCGGGGAAAGCTGACTATATCTACCATAGGTTTCTCCGCTCCAGGGCCCGAAAGACAAGCCTAGTTTAGCCTCCGTATCGTTCAACTCCATGTTTTTGCCGTTTGATAGGGAAGCAATATAACCCGTGCGTCTCCCTCCGAGTCCCCCGTTACGTGCCCCGGTCGAGTCTCCTAGGTTCTGACTTCCTTTGTGTGTGTGTACGGTGAGGGCAGAAAAACGGGCTTGAGCGTACGCCGTACTCATTGTAATTTTCGAACCGTCGCCATGATCCTCCAAGCTCTAACACCGCTTCAAGAGGAGGCGACATGACGAGGGTAATTGATATACTAGGAACCGAACCCACGAACTGAATTTATTCTCTCATTCCGTTTCCGCTGCTATCAGATTTGAAAAAGGGAGAAGCCTGAGACGGATTAAACCACCAGCCAAAGAGCGACTACGTACCGCTCAACCCCAAGTTTCCGCCGTTTGGTAGGTCCGGACTCGTGAAACGATATAGCCCACAGCTTTCATTCATCCGTTACGTGCCCCATGGCTGAGTTGGTTACAGCGTCCGACTGTTATACTGATTCACTGTGGATACTTCAATCGGAAGGTCGTGAGTTCGAGCCTCACTGGGGCAGTCTCTAGTTCTCGCTTCGAATTTTTTTTTACCCCCCCCCCCCCCCCCCATGAATTGTTCAGTTTTTAATTATCTACCGGCTACGGTACGTACGAGCACAGTTTGGTTATTGTAGTTGAGCAAAAAAGACCTCCGAACGCAAGAGGGAATCAAACCGTATGCCCCATGGAATTTTGAATCGTGCTGTTCGGTGTCTTTTCTGAAAAGTCTTGAGGCATTCATACTTGGGGTTTACCGGCCCGTCAAGTATGTAGTCAAACAAAACGACGTTGCATTAAGAAGGAATCGAGTCCCGGCGGAATCATGCTGTTATCTACTCCTGGCTCGGCTACTCAGGCTCCCAAGTACTCGAAAAAGTAAGAGGGAATCCAACCCCCGGCGGGTCGAGCGAACTGTAGATCCCTACATGACAACAACCCAGGTTACAGTTCGAGCCTCACTCGGGCAGCTAAACTCTTCCATCTGCATAGCCTTTTTTTATCTCTCCCATACCGAACGTGCTGTTTCATGTGTGCTTTTTTTTCTATTCACTACTCGGGCTCCCGAACGCTCATTCATGTTATGACAAAACAACTGGGGTTTGGTGGCCCGTCGAGTACAAAGTATGTACTAGTTGAATAAAAAGTCTGCCTATCATTATTCATGCATTAAGAGGGAATCGAACCCCCGGCGGGTCGAGACAAATTGTGCGAAAGCCTCATATGGCAACGACCCAGGTTACCACTACCCCATTAATGCTTCGTTGAATAGACGGGGGTTGTGTATATATAGGTATCATGTATCAACTTGAGCATGGAAGGACATGATAGTTTACAGGATATATAGGTCAGAAAATATCCGAGCACGATATGTGGAGGCCTAATACACAAGGGAACGACAAAAAAGATAAGCTTTCACCGAAAACTCTAGCTGCCCCAGTGAGGCTCGAACTCACGACCTTCCGATTGAATCCAGGGCAGGGAAATATAACAGTCGGACGCTGTAACCAACTCAGCCATGGGGCATGTATCAGTCTACAAAATTAAGGTAATATGACACCACAAGAAGACTTGGACTATGGCGTCATGTTTATTTCTGCCTTCGCTTCCCAGGACCTGGCAGCTGGCTTGTCCACATACTTCCACAACCTCCACTCGTAGTCATACCGAACATGTCCAGCTAATTCAATGTCTCTAGCCAAGTCGCTTATCGGGTTCTCCGCAGCCCCTTTTTGACGTTCCTCGGTAGTATCGGTATCGTCATCAACAACGGTAACGGGATATGGTCCGATCCGAGAGCTCCGCACCACACATTCGCTAACGGTTATGCGGGGGCCAGCCTTTGGTTTCTGACTACTACCACCACGACGAGTCCATGAAGACATCGACAAACTAGAACAACACGACTATCACGGCCTAGAAATATGGACAGCGCGACTCAGAATGGTATGTTCCTCGTTGCTGTCGGTCGGTATAGCGGTATTTCTGACGGTTTTTGGCTCGTGTTTAGATACCCAACAGCAAGCACAGGCTTTGAACCCGACGGTTGACTTTATAGCTGGGACTATCGGCGTATGTGACACGTTTGACCTTCTCAATTTCGTTCGTATCCTAACAAACCCTCATTCGTTATCGCCCATCCCCTCCAATATCTTATCGCACCGCACCGCAACAACTCGGACGAACGCAAATAGGGCGTAGCAGGTCTCGTAGTCGGTTTTCCCTTCGACACCGGTGCGTTCCGTTCCGTATTTCGCTCACTATATCATCATGTTCCCACTAACCTCACCTTGACCTCGTTAGTCAAAGTACGCCTCCAAACCGCCTCCACCTCAACCCGTACCTCACCTTCACCCTCAACTCTCCACTTAATGCTCTCTATCGCTCGAGAAGACAAACGACTCGGAATATGGGGCTTATTTCGGGGTATATCCTCCCCCATCGCGACTGCTGCACCCTTAAACGGGTTGGTATTCGCCAGTTATCGGTTCTTGTTGGACTTTCAGAGACCTTCCGGGGAAGTACAGACGGAAGCGGAGTGGACGCCGACGTTGGGACAGATCGCGTTGGCTGGGATGGGATGTGGTATTGTTGGCTCGTACGTCAGCTCTTTCTCTCTGTCTCTGTTCGTTTCTAACTATCGTTCGTTCGTTTGGTAGAGTGATAACAACCCCAACCGAACTAATCAAGATCCGACAACAAATGCCTTCTTCCTCCTCGTTCTTCAACTCATCCCCCTCCACCCTCCCAACAGCAAGACAAGTAGCAACCGACATATACAAACGACACGGTATCCGAGGTCTCTACCGCGGTATAACAGCTACCGCATTACGCGATTTAGGATTCGGATCCTACTTCTTCGCTTACGAAGCTACATGTCGGTACCTCCCCCCTCTTTGGGGGTCTCTTGGTTCTGGAGTGACGGAGAGGAGGAGAAGTGAGACTGGTGCGTTGGTTCATGAGATGGATCATAGAGAAGGGAGTGAGAGTGCGGGGTTGGGAACGTTGTTGGTTGCTGGGGGTGTTGCTGGGATCGGTGAGTCCCTCCTTTCGTTTTTGAGTGGAGTTGAGCTGACTCCTGACGTTGGATAGCTGGATGGATATTCACGTTCCCGATGGACGTGGTGAAGACGCGTGTGCAGAGTCATGATGGGGGGTATTATCTCTCCTCAGCATCTACGGCTGTGGGTACACCGGCACCAACGGCGATTTCGTCTTCCGGGTCTTATGGGCACAGTCATTACCCTCATCCACAATACCAACACCAACATTCATACCCCTTCGCGTTTTCTCGAGGTCTCCACCAAGGCCAAAGTCCCTCCGCACCAAAGAGAACTCTAAACCCGTACCGAACGACGTTATCCACGTTCCTCCACTCGTTCCGTACCGAGGGGCACGCAGTGTTTTGGCGTGGACTGGGAGCTACGTTGTTAAGAGCTGTACCGGTGAATATGGCTACGTTTGGTGTGTTTGAAGGGGTCGTTTGGGTTGTTGGGTGAACGTGGTGTGTGTGTGTGTTGGTTGGAGACTTGCATACCCTAGGACCAACATCTTACTAGCATTTCATGTATCTTATTTATTCATCATCTCGTCGTGCATAGCTACACTTGTACTTACTACCACTGGATAAATATATACCATTATCTCGCGTTGACCGCTATATATCCACATGTTCGGAAGAGGAGGTATCCTGCCCCATGGCTGAGTTGGTTACAGCGTCCGACTGTTATCCAAAGTGCTCAAACATGGCAATCGGAAGGTCGTGAGTTCGAGCCTCACTGGGGCAGATCACTTTGCACAGAGTTGATTTATTTTATTTTATTTTTGCTTTCCCTCTGTCGTTAGGTTTGATCTTCAACCCCTCCTCCCCTTTTTTGGTATTTAGCTACCTGTCGAGTGCAGGTATGTATGTCTCAACCTCGGTAGGGTGTTTGGTGAGTTTACAAGGAAAGGTGGGACTGAGTCGGTACCGTATATGTCATACGATTTCATATGAGAAAGAAAGGCATCAATGGGGTAGTGGTAACCTGGGTCGTTGCCATAGTAAGTAAATACGACAGCCTCGACCCGCCGGGGGTTCGATTCCCTCTTGATGCAATTCAAGGCGTTGATTGATTCAATTTTTCTTTCCGCTTGTTCTTCTTCTTTTTCTTTTTCTTTTCCTATTTACTGTGCCCAATCGAAGTGAACGATGAACTAGGGTGTTGGGATGCCTCGTCGTCGATACTCGGGAAGCTTCCCTAGGTTCCAACTTCTAGTCCAGCCAACCTCCCCCTCCCCTTTTTTTTTGAAGCTGAGGACTATGATTATGACGACGTACGGTATATGGTACACAGTTTTTTCGAAGCCGATTGATCTTAATTTCTAGTGGCTCCTCCCCGAAAGAGTCTTCAGTGGAAAGAGCATCATACTGATTTATTCCTTTTATTCTTAGGTTATTCTGAGCCCCCGGCTCGTGATTGGGTTTCTTTCGATTCGTCGTGGGGCCCACTCAGCGCTAGCACTGGGGTAGTGGTAACCTGATTACTCGAGTTGAATTCCTTCTTAATGCCATCTCTTTTACTTTATCTCCTTGACTGACTCGAGGCGTACGCCCGAAGTCCCGAGTACCGTCGCAGCGAACGTTATCTTTCATCAACCCCTTGCGTCATCGTATATCGGTCCATAACTCCCGTTAGTTAGGAACGCTGGGATGGCCGAGTCGTTAAGGCGAGTGATTTGTATGAGATCATTTTTCATCGGAAATTAGTATGCACTTGACAGAAATACGTATGCACTAGTGTTCGGGCTTTGCGTTGTTGACGTCTGGCCTTGCGGTATTGGTCTTGAAAAACATGATGTCACGTCATTGTGTTGATCTTCACGAGCTCTCTGTCGCTCAGTCGCGCTTTGACAACGCGGGGTCCGTCATACGCCTTGCAGTTCTTTTGCATCGGTAGTCTATATTTGGATGGGTGAGAGGTACGGGCGGTCATGATTCCGTGTACGGCCCGACTTGTCGAGAGTCTGGCTGATACAGATATTGTACAACCAATAACAAGAGAGGGTGCGGGAAGTGTTCGTTCGCTCTTCGATGAAACACGTTTAGTGTGCAACAGAAATTGACCAAATGACAGCATGGTTTTGCAAGCTGCGATTTCCTATCTAATGCTCAACGATACAATCCTCGCATTTCGACAATAAGAGCCCCGTCTGAGCCCCTTTCAAGAACAACAATCGCTACTATACTTCCCCTCATCATTGCTCCATTCTTACCAACTTTCATCATAAGTTCCGTTCCAAATCCACCAAGCCTTTGACGTTCTTTGCTCAAGAGAGAGATGGCCGCTAATCAGCTTCCCTCCGAAACTCTCTCCCAACTCTATGCTTTCTTGCAGTCTCAGCCGGGATTCAGCTTCCCGGCAGGACCCTCTCAGGTCACATCCGCCCCCTCACAGCCAAATCCTACTCTAATATCGGGACCGGTGGGGACTACGGTTGCATCAGCTGTTAATACCACTACGAATGCAGCACCTCAGGCACCTCCCTCTCAATCCACAGACACTTCGATTCTATCGGCCCCGCCACCACTTCTCTCTCTTACCACTTCAACAGCACCTTCCACATCATCCTCTTCCGCTCCTCCAATCTTATCCCAGGCTCCTGCTCCGATTGGTCCATACTCTAGTGTCAGCATGCTCAATGCCGTCGCAGGTGGTTCCTTATCTGGATCAGAGTCTTCCTCGCCGGGCCGTCCTCGCATCACGACTCAACCTGGTTTTCCCGCTCTCACTATCGTTCAGCGCGTGAACGAAGCCAGGAGGGAGCATGCCAACGAATCGCTCCCCCGTAAACCTCGTGGGAAGGCCAAGAAGCCTCCGAGCCTGGTGTCACAGGAGAAAGGGCTGTCTCTTGACGACTGCCTTCGTGTAACCCCGGAGAAGAAGGTCCTCATGAATCTGGCGGTGAACGTTTACCCTCCCAGGCCCCCGAATGACATCTTAAACGTAAGCTTCTCTCTTGTCGTCATGGAAACGCATAGTGACACTGTTTCGCACAGGCATTTGGGATTCCTCGACATATTGTCCTCTACATCAGACACGGCGATTCTTTCAATGCGGCCCTCAACAGGCTGCATCTCTATCACGAGTTCCATGAAGTTGACGTGAAGACACCAGTTGTAGATGTTCTTACCGCCGTTTGTGACGAGCTCAAGGCATATGGTTACGACTTGGATAACACGGCAACCCAATCTACCTTTGCTCCTCATGAGAGCCTTCCATTGCAGCTGTTGGCATTCACAAACCTTGGACGGCCTAATGGCAGATCCAAGTCCTGCAAATTAGCCACTGGGGCTTTCAATGCCGACACAACCCTAGAGGATATTCTTCGCAGACGTGAGTATGCGAATGCGAAGCTCTCAATTACGCAGCGTGGATTCTTTGAGCTCAACACTGGTATGGCCCGTTGATTTCTATCCTTTTATTTCTCTCATAAAACCTTTGTATCCAGTCATTCGGAAGTCCCATTACCCCCTTTCTATAGATAAGAGCCTTGCTGATCTCAGCCTGGGTGGTGATACCGAGATCAAGACTCACCGGTGTATATCCAAACGTATCTATGGAATGTTTCGGGACGATGAGGACGTTGACGCCATGGCTAGGGAAGGGGACTTGGAACACTCATGTGGGGAAGAGGAGGAGAGTGATGAGGAGGTGAGTCGAGCTCGGGATCTACCATAGGCTGAACTTATAATTGACCTTCCTTTAGGACGAGCAAACAGTGGTGAATATGCTTCTTTCCCGCCCGCCACTGACATTACGGCCCCTTTCTGGTCCCACTGTTGCTGTCCCTCCCCCGGCTCTTGCCCGAAGTGCTCCAGACTTGACAGCCAATCAAACAGACCCTTCTGCACGGAGGGCTGTATCTAACCCCACACCTTCCACCTCGACTGGAACCGCCACAGCGCCACCCTCCACCCAGGGTGTTGCAGTTGCAAGTGTTGCTCGTCAAGCAAACCGAGAGGTAAGTCTAGCCCTGCCGTCGTGGTATCTTATTGCAACTCAGTTCGATTCTTCCATGTCAATATAGGCAGTCCCAGATGCTCCTGCGATCCTGTGGACTGTTGTCTGGGATGAGAAGCGGGAGCAGGATCTGATGACTATCTATGCATTCGAAAGGACCCCAAGATTTTTTGAAGTTGTCTCAGAGACTTATGAGTCGACTCACGATGGAAGGACTTTACCAGGTCTATTTATTCGAGGGCGAACTCAACAGGAACTCAGTCAACGATTAAAGGGAGTAATAGTGGATTGTCTCGAGCGCCAAGACTTCACTCCCCTTTTGACTTCTGATCGTCTGTTTGCCCTGTAGGTCAATCTCTCTAACCTACCGATCAATAATAACAACTGAACAAATTCAGTGTAGATGCGAGTGGCGATCTGATCAGTAGTGGTGCTGGACTTGAACGAGAGGTCGTTCAAACCCTTTGCCACTCATACTTTATCAAGAGCGCCTCCACGTTCTTTATGCCTCTAGGACCCGAGTTCTCAACCCTTGCTGCTGTCAATGGTGCGTCAGCGCGTTGGATGTCCGAAGCGCAGAAGGTAGAGTGGGGCGTCCTTGGCACTTTGGTCGCACTCTCCCTGATCTATGGTTTCGACACCACTCCTCTCAACCCGTTGCTTTTGATCTACCTCATCAATGACTGTGATATCATTTCACTCCACTCTTTGCTGGTCCTTCGGTGGTTTCCCGAGCTCCATGCCACACTAAAGGCCTGGACCCAGTTGGGACACCAGGATGACATTACTCAATTTGCCGGACACTTTGCCTCGTATCATGATTGTGATGTCTGTCTATTACTCCTTCTCCCGCGCATGTTACATTGACATCCTTCCATAGGTTTCCGTGCTCCAGGTCAGAAGTGTCGAACAGCACCTAGCTCTCGCATGGGAGATGTTGCACAAGGGAATCATTGGCACGGGAACCAGTGACCATCCCGCTTTTGTGTCTTTTTTGAAAGGTTTCAAGATGCCTTGTGATAAAGGCTATACGTTTACTCAGGTATGTCGCGATCTGGAGTATTCTCCGTCGGATACTTACCTCAGATTCGATAGATTGCTCGTTCTTTCCAAGGAGGTTCTGAGAACTTCGTAAACTTGGTGTATCAGAATCACATTTCCCACTATTCAGACCTCCTTCTTGATCATCGGTCGAGACTTGTGCCAGTGACGGAAACAAACCTGAGGGAAGCGCTTCACGCCAATCCATCTTTGGAGGTGGAAGACTTCGAAGACTTGTTCCGCGCATTTCTCGAAGGAACCGGATACCCCTCCCTTGGCCTGATGGAGGGAATGGATGGTCGCTTCAACACCATTGTTGACCTCAGCGACATACACGATGACACCTTCAGAATGTGAATGCTCTGCTGGGCTGCTACGGGTGCACCGTACATACTCCCAGATGGAGTGCCTACCAAGGCAGGTCACTCCTTATTCTACAAGGTCTGTTACCCAGAGCTAATGAACGACCGAACAACATGTCATACTTGTGGAGGACGACGATACTGAATATCGAGCAGGTCTAGACCATCTTCAGTCGACACGTCATCTCAATGCAGGGGTGTGCAAGTTTCGAACTTGTGCGCGTGAAGTTATGCTCCCTGCTTCGTTCCTCATTCGTCTTCTCGGCATTGATTATTCTTCCTCGAATGGTGATGTTGAATCTTCTGGTTCAGGTCTGACTGTCGAGGAGGCAATTCATCAATGGCTTTTAGTCGCAATTTTGGACAACATTGGCCAAAACAACTTGGCGTGACATAGCTCATATCTCACGAGAACTTCTTGGTCATAAACATATATTATACTACGCCTAATACAACAGTCTTTACTTCTCTTAATGTGTGTCCAAACTACCGTCCGTCTCTATGAGTGTGACAATCTTGAAACCCGTCGACTCCGCTCTGGATAGCTAATCAAAGTTGCGGAAAGAGAGAAGCTATTGGCCCGGGCCCTAATGAAATCCTGAAGGACTCAATAAGCGCCCACCGATGATGGGGTTTCGTTCAAACCACGACCACCACAACGCTGGCATCCAAGTGCCAATGCCTCCTGGAT